GTGATAATCATTATGATCTATACATATATTAAATAAATTATAGTTCTTACTTCACATTTTCGATACTAAAGATATGTTTTCTCCCTGTTTCTTCTCCTTTATCTATTTTTTCTTTGTCTTTTTTTTCCACATGAAATGTAAATATTATTTTCTTTTTGTTTTTTAATATTTCTTATATACTCGTTACTTGAAATGCACAGACTCATACTGTATTTATTCACCTTTTGGTTAAGTTTGTTTATATAATTATTATATGTTTTTATTTGAATGTTGTGTACAGATATAATTGGAGAACAAATTTAATATGATATTTTTAGTTTTTAATACGAAGATGTAATTTTTTTAATTTGTTTTCTGTTTCTGTACCTAAATAAATAAAATAAAATAAAAATATAATTTTTAAATTGATCTATACCATTGGACAAGGAACAATCGTTTCAAACTACATTTTTGTTCACTCACCTCGTACCGGCTTAACGGATTCAGCTGGATTTGATGACTATAGAGACAGTGTTAACATAGGATTTAAAAATATATTTTAATTGAATCTTCCACTCGACCGAAGTTAGGTCGACAAAATAGTTCAAAAAAGTGGTAAAAATCAAATATCAGTGATTCTATCGAGAATTGTTATTCAAAAACCATTACGGGTTATTGCAAGTTGAATATCCGCTACATTTTAGATATCAGGAAACTATTCAATTCGAATTCAATTATTTTTAACGTTTTCAGAACTTGAAATAATGTAGAAATAACTTTTTGATTTATGCTTTATCCTATAACGAGCGTGTTCCAGATTCGTACGGTCTTAACGACACTTGATATTGATAATATTTAATATAGTCGCTCGATTGATCGACCGTCTGGCGCAGGATGGTGCATTATTAGGCATTGGAGACCACTCTAGACTCGATATAATTTTTGCATAATATTTTTAAACAATGTAGAGAATAGTACATAAGACACGATTGTCTTAGTTTGTAATGTGTACTTGCTGTGCCAGCGGTCGCGGGTTCGATTCCCGTTGGAGGCATTTATTTGTATGATGAGCACAAATGTTTGTACTCCAGTCATGGGTGTTTATATTTATAATATGTATGTTTTTAAAGTTTATATACATTTGTGTAGGGTATTAACTACCTGGTATCCATAACACAAGCCTCGTAGCTTACCATTTAACTAGACGGTGCTAATGTCCCAAAATATTTATTTATAGTATTGCTGAAATTTAATCCCTCCACGACCGCGGACACGCCGGCGTTACAGTAAACAATAGATTTATTAGAAACTTAATAAATTTCTTAGAAATTTACCTGGAAGTGTTAAGTTATAAAGAATTAATATTTTTTCTCTTCTTTAAATATAAAAAAAAATAGTAAGTTTAAAATAAGCTCAGTTTAATAAATTCATACATTTAACATTCCACGAAAGACATTGTTGTTCCTCAGTACTACATTAAACCATCAAGTTATTTACCATCATTGCTTACTTACTATGGTGTTTTATTTTTTTTTACTTTAAAGTTATGTGCAAAGATTTTACGAGATTTTACATAAAATTGTATCATCTGAACTGTAACAAGGAAGATATTTATTATTGTGTATGTATTGATAGAGAAGAAGAGATGCCTCACTCTATTCTTCGTCTAGTGCCATAAATAGTCGTTTTAGTGCTTATTTGTTCAAACTACCTATAATACTTTACAGTGAAGAGTTTTTTGTCTATTTTAAAAACAAAGTTTTATTTATTAGAATTATATACATACTTATTTAAAGTAAAATCTGTATTTTATACCAATATAATTGACATTTAAAAGTTAATCTATACATATAATAAAATTGAAACTAAGCAGAATCTGTACATTAAATATTTTTTGGGAAATCTTATTGAAATAAACATAATTAACTATACAGAGGCCGAATCTATAGTTTTTAGAATTTTTGTCTGTCTGTTACCGCATTACCGAAAAACTACTGGAGGGATTTTGAAGAAACTTGGCATGGTAATAACTGGTTATCCGGGTCAACATATGGGATACTTTTTACCGCGGAAAAATGTCTCATTTCTGAGAAAAAATACAAAAACTGCAATGTAAGAGTATACTAATATGTAAAACCTAAGAATTTTTAGTCATCTGAACGCGGGCGGAGCCGCGGGCAATGCTAATAATTTTATATATAACTCTTTCGGCCAATTGGTCATTTAGACAAATGATACTTTTCATCTATGATATCAGAATGAATAAGTAAGTTTAACCACATGGGATATGAACCTGAGAATTCCGGCTTCAATTTGCATTTTGCTTCCATTAGAATGACCATAATATTATGGGAGTTAAAAAAATCTTTTTTATTACACTTCATCTTTACTCCATCATCAGATCCTTTCAAAGTTATGGTTGTTATTGATTTATCGCGTCGCTTGCGGAGAATATGAAATGAGCTATTCGTCATAAGGAAGACATTTGGAGATTCGAATTGGATAGTCAAGTTTCTGTCGATTTTTCTCAATGCTAAAATAAACGATGCCCATCCATTCAGGATTACTGTAATATGATTTTATTGTCTTTATCATTTAAAAAAAAAATATTATTTGTTAAATTAGTTTAGAGTTTGATTTGATTCCCGACGTTTCAAATCAAAATAGATCCGCAAAAAAATCTGAAAATCTTTTCAAGTAAGTATCTACTTATATTTAAAATGTTAAATATTCGCGTAAATCTAAGAAAGTATTATATAAAATAAGTTACTTACAAAATAAAAATAGCGTTTCCCGACTTTGTATGAATTTAATGCAAGTACAGTCGTAGGCTAAAGCATGTGACACAATATGTAATTATTAAAACTTTTATATCGGATTTTCCAAAACCTTGTATTTTATTTCATAACATTTCATTTTCATTTTGCTACGTAAGTAAAAATTAATCGCATTTGACGTCCCGTGCTTAATTACGTATGATACAAAAGGGTTGAAAGAATTTAAAATACAAAGCGAAATGTAATGTTATACTGATTTGTATACAATAATATGTTAAACGGGTTTTTTTACTTGACATTCAAGGGTTTTTTATCTGGTTTTAACTAATATGTAATAAAAATCAGTGGTAGCCCAGTGGAAGTGTGTACGCTTTGGTAAACGAGTGAAGCGGGTTCGCATCTCTGATATGGTTATGTGCGAATCATTTTCATTTTGATTACCACTTGTCTTACAGCGAAGGAAAACAATGTGAGGAAACCTGCATGTTTAAGAGAACTTAGCAAATTTTCGAAAGACACGTGAAGTCCGCCAGCCCGCACTTGGCCAGCGTGGTGAACTATGGCCTGACCACCATTGTAGTAAAGGGAAGCCCACCCTCAACAGTGGGACATTAAAAGAGTGTTAAATACAATATCTAATAGGTTTACATGACTTCTTTATCAAACTAATATTATAAATGTAAAAGGTACATAAACTATATAATTATATTTTACTAGGTGACTAAATGCCTAACAGTCGATGACGTATTACCATCTTCATTTCAGGTCATAATCTGTGTACTAAACACCCAAATCCAGCTATTTCGGCTCGAATAAATAAAACATACACAAATACAAATTCGCATTTAAATTACTAGTCTGCTTTTTTCCTTTAATTAGAATTGTATTAAAAAATTAAAAGCATCATTTGGTTTACAATTTTTTGGGAATATATTATTTACAACATAATAATAACATCCGCAAGAAAAAAATAATATATCTTAAATTTAACAAAAATAAAAATATTTTTATTGCACCTTCTCAACGGTAATAGTCCAGCATTAGCAAAAGAAAGTGCGTGTCCAGTGGAGGGGGAGGGGTGGAGAGGGATGGGTGGAGGAGGATGGGTGGAGGGGTTGTAGGAAGCCGCGCTTACTCATTTAAACTTGGCCAGATGCTAGAACTATAAAGTTTAGAAAGTGAAAAAAAAAATTATTTTTGTATGAAAATAAAAAATTAAGAAATATTGTTTTTTCTTGTTACAGATGTTGTTGTTATGATGTAAATAGTATATTCCCAAAAGGTTTTCAGTAAATTAAAAATGACCCTGTATATAAAATGTACGTAAGGTCACGTTCGTATTATATTGTGTTAGAATATCTTCAATACAAATTGCAATTACATGAACAAACAAAATTTTTTTTAACAATATTGAATTTTTCAGTACAAAAGTATACATTTTTTATCATAATAAATTAACGGTAACGAGCGTATAGCCCGAAACATTGCTTCCGGTTTCCAGAGGATCTCTTTAAAATTCTCATCCAAGGTACAACAAAGCATTATTATAATTTAGATTCTTTTACCATGTTTGAGTCATTATTTATTTATTGTGCTAGAGGTCTACTGTGGCTTGATTCGCGGTCAGGACGGTTATTTTTTAAAGCTTTTATTTAACTTGCAATTTTTGTTAGGTATTGTTATATTGGTATGTTTGTATGGGTCACATCTAGTCGCTTCCTCTTATTCTACAAACTTATATATCATACTCGACTCACCCTCGTTTCGCTCCGGTTCGATTTTGTTGTATTTCTTGATGATATTGCGAGAAGTTTATTATATGTTAATTTATTTTATTCCCGATTTTCATTGAATTTGAAATACGCATTTTATGTCTTCACCGTTAAGACGTATTAACGTCAAATTATCTAATTAAAATAATTTACAACAGGTACCTAATCGTATTTAAAATTACTAGTTTCTCTAATAAATTCAGATTTCAAGTTAATCTTCTATTACACTTTGTTTACGAGAAACAATTTGATTAGTGTGCTAACTTATTTGACTAGTTTTAGAATGGATGAAGTCCAAACTGAAAGTGGACTTAAATTTGCTACTCAAACTTCATTCATCTCTAAATGAACTCTTGACAGATTGAAATTAATTGAAATATAATCTAATCATACCCTTTGTTACAGGTGTAGTGAGGGACATAAAGTTTCAGAAGTTGAAAACAAATCTTAACAAGAAGTCACTAACGATGCGATGAAAATTGATGAACACGTAGATGAAAGCAATGTGTCCACAAAGGTGATATCTGATGACAATGGCATTATATAAACTGCCTTTACATATATGTAATTCTATAAAACAGTATTTGTTATATGTGAATTTAATATACTACATATTGAAGATTCAATGTAAAGTGAAGAGGAAATGTAAATTAGGGTCTGAACAGCGGATCAAGCTAGTGCTATTATTAGTGCTGCTATTGAGTGCAAATTCTAGTGGTAATAGTTTTAGTGGGGGTAGAAATTCTATGTTAAGGACTAGAATCATAGGTACGAGGTACGGTAAACTACAAGGTGTCATCCTACCTATGGATCAACATAAGTATTTGAAACCGATTGAAGCGTACTTAGGAGTACCGTATGCGACTCCTCCCACTGGTTCTAATAGGTATGTATTTTACATAAGTTTAATTATTTTTTTAAAGATACGATATTTATATTTCATTAGCTAAGAATATTAAGAATATAAAAATTGGGTTTAGAAAGAAAAACATGCAAACCTTCTTTTATATAATTCTTCTGTACGTGTGTAGTTACTGAATTCCTCCTAAACGGCTGGAGTGATTTTAAAAATTTTGTTTGCTTGTGTTTGAGTGGGTCTCTTGATGTTTTATATTTGAATTATAGTATTATCTCGTAGTAATAATAAACAATCTTTAAATATTTTTGGAACATTTTTTTATTATTATGAGAAGTTCTTCTAAAGAAGATGCTGTATAATATGCATACATTAATTATAAAACAATATTACGAATTTCCGATGGGCTGGTACAGTTTTTAATTCAATTACAAATAGTTTATGTTAGGGTCAACCCCGAGAATTTCAAGATTCTAGAATCTATTGGACGTGAGCTGCACATTTTAGATAAAAATTATATTTGAGAGTATAATGTTGTATAAGTAATGGTGAATCAAATAATTGTTTTTCTCGAATTAATTATTATAGTTGCAATTTATTACATTTAGCCTGCGATTTTGCTCGTGTATTTTCCTCTAGTTCGCGGACCGAGACACCGTTTTATATGCGACGGTATGACGTCGAGAATTTTGTTACGTTTGGATACTTAATAGAGAAAAAATGGATGTTTTTATAATATGAACTAAAATAATAAAATAAAAATGCATAATAATAATAAACCCGCGTAAATACAAGTAATAATAATTACAAAAATTGATTATTTCCCTATGGATCAACCTGAAATATGCCTTTAATTCTAATTTTCATGCAAATAACCAATACAAATTTAAAATAAAGCAAAGTCTCCAAAATCCTTGATTTTCTGTCATTTTATTATGTAATTTATTCAATTTTTGTATAGGTTCGCACCTACCAGAGCACCGGCACCGTGGGATGACGTGAAAACGGTTGATCAAATGGGTCCTGTATGCCCCCAACGGCTGCCAGATATCTCGAACGAGACGCTTGTCCTTGAAAAAATGCCGAAGGGTAGACTAGAGTACTTGAGGAGATTACTGCCTAGATTGAAAAATCAAAGTGAAGACTGCTTATATATGAATATTTATACACCTGTTCAAGGTAATTTCTATATATCTTTATTTTTTTAATTTACATCTTGTCGCCTTAGTGCTTATTTGTTCAAACTACCAATACTTGTTGTATTTTACAGTAGAGAGTATTTTCCTGTATTTTAAAAACAAATTATATTTTGCGGCTTTTTTATAGTTAAACGTGTATTTAATACCAATCTACATTTAAAAGTCAATAATTCTGTAATAAAAACTCATTCGGTAAATTGGTCGTTTGGACAAATAAGCACAGAGGCGACCTTCTACAGAAAAGTTAAAATACTATTTCAAATATTACAATAAAGAAGTTTTCTTAATTAAGTAGTAAAATCGAAGGATTTTCTAAATAAGAATACCATTGCCAAAATGCCAAATTATTTTATATCCCTATATCCATCTATTATTATTCATAAAACTCTACAAGGGCCACCTAGTATTAAAAAGTAAAATCACTACGCCCGTATCCCTCACGTTCATACATAATATGTACGCATTTCGTATTCCTACGTAAAAATCATTTAAGCGAAAAGAATTTCTATTAAGCAGTCGACTGTCGCTTGCTATCTTCCTTTTACATTCAATGTTCATGCAATCCTAACTTCTAGTCGGAACACTTCCACCACTTGATATCGAAGATACGCACAATTTCGTTCAGAATCATCACGAGTTATCGTGAAAATTGCACACTTCGTTGCCCCCGTCGATATTTTATTTGAAAAGAATGTTATTATTTCTTATTTCACACCTGCTCATAATGTATAGACAGAATATATATATATATATATAGATATATATATATGTAAGAATAGATCAATATTCTTTGGTTTTTAATATATAAATGTGTTTATGATTACAGAATAATTGCTCTTTGAACGGCATAATGATAAACATCTTATCTTGTTAGTGATAACGTATAAAATACATTGTATATCACAGGCATATCGTATGATTTTTTTTACAAACGGCATCTGTTTGCAAACGCTTGTTTGTAAAATGACGTAGGCAAATTGTAAAATACAGCACTATGAGTACTGAGTAGTAAGGGTATCATGGTATCCTGAAGGGGTATCCTGAATACTACGAAGGAAACTTTCACATCTAACATAATTCCAGTCCCATCTGTCACCAAGTTTGAATTTAACATTATGAAATGTCAAAAGTAACGACGCGTGTTTTTAAGTAACAGACAGACAGATCTACTTTTACAAAATCATTAGCTATCAGTACAAACTAATTTCTTAATGGTTTATATGGATTGTGTACACTGTACATGTTTATATGGTCTAATTTTTTTCACCCCTCAGTAATATTTATGGAGTAGCACCCCTATTTTATTGTTAAATTGACTACAGAATCGTCTAGAAGTTCACAAGAGAATATATATGTATATAAGAATTTTGTTGTAGCCTTTAACCTACGGAACCTTTAAAAATAATGATACTCTTGAATATAATCTTCAAGTGCTCCATCTTCGATATATTTGTTTATATATAAAATTTAATAGAATATACTATTTATCTGGTAACCCCAAGGGTAAAGGACGACTTACTTCGGCTCTAAGAATAAGATTGAAGAAACGCGTAAGACAATGATTGACGCTTTTATACATAAGCCCTTTTCTATTTATCTTATAGATATTTTTGGAACTAACTTCAAGAATATATATATCTTTAACATTAACGTAAGGCATATTAAAATTGTATTTCAGCACCATATTTTTGAATAAATCATAAATATAATTTCAGATTAGAAAATAAATTAAAATTAGCTTGCTTTTGTTTTTAGTGACAAGTGGTAATCATGTTGGAAATGCTTCGCCCTTGAAAATATCAGAGAGGTGAGATCCAGTATCTGAACCCACTTCACTTGGTTTCCCAAGTGAACGCGTTTCCATTGAATAGTCCACTAAGCTACCGCTGCCTTTTCCACTTGGCTATCACTGCCTATAAAAGTCACATTATAGGTAATTAAAACTAAACCAAATACGCCAGACAATGGTAGAAGATAGTTCACGAGGTACTCTTCGGTGTAATATTTCAACATTATAATCCAATGTACGATCTTAGAGGCACTTAAATGGTTTCGAAGATTAAATGTACTCCTTTACGTTTTTAAATTTTCATACTTGGTTCTCAGTTTGAGAGATTTTTCAAGTATCACTGTATATTTCGATAAGTACCAATTTTGCTTAAGGAAACTTGGCCCGACCCAGGACATGAGCTCAGGATCTCTGAGGCATCTTCCACTAGACCACCAAGGCATCTCTCGAGACAATACTAGATAAAATATAACATGCTTTCATTTCATACCACCAGCTTTCTTCTACATTTTATTAACGATTTGTTAAACTTAATTTTTTTAAATATCTTGGACTGGACATTTTATAAATTGGGGTAGAAAAAAATAGGCTTAAATTATAGTAAAAATTATTGTACCATAAATTTTAGTTCCATTTGTAATTGTTATGAAACAAATAATAAAAGTTTCGTAATATTTTATTCATGCAGCGATCCAATTCTCTTTCATTCATAAATTACAAAATGCGACACACAATGCCAGTCCGTTGCCTGAATTTCGACGTAATAATATTTCATTGTGCATGTTAAGAGTATATTTTGTGTATTGTGAAGCCGTCGTGAAATAGCTGAAGTGTATGATACTTGCTTCCTTTCCCATCTTTTCCTTTTGCATCTGCCATCCTGTTCGAAGGATGACTCTTGTACCATCATCCTTTGGCTTATTTTTGAATTAAGTCTAAATTTATAACGTCTTAAATTGAAAAGAGGTTTATAAATACATACATTCTTACACACAAAAGACTAGTAGAAATAGATAAATAACGCAAACGACCAGTAACTAAAAATAATTTGAAACTTTCAAGTCTTCAAGCGACTTTTTTCAAAGTTATCTACAGTCCGCCTTTTTTGTCGGTCGGCAATTTATATCCAGTTCCGGTTGAAAATGCTAAAGGATAAATAAGTTAGTAAAAATGTGCAAAATGCACATCAAACGTTTCTACTTAAACATGGTAATATTATGAGATGCAATCTGTTCGCATTTTTAATAAACTTTAATAACCTCAAAACATTATTTTCAAACTTCTGAAAATCGCGAGCAATTTATAGCCTACTAGCTCACAAGGAAAAGATAACTCCCAGGATATTACAATTTAATGAATAAGATACCATGATTTATGTGCACTAAATTTTAATTTCTGATGTCAATAGGATATTGGAAATCCTTTAGTCGTTTGGTCGAAAAATTTTAATCACACCTTACAATACCCGTTTGGTACGATAGTTTCATCAGAAAGATCTTTTGTAGCATTGAATGGGACTGTAAATTATTACTTTTACTTAAATTTTCAGTAAGAATAACGGAGGCGTTGCGGATATTCGGGGCTTCATTGTTCGGATAAATGGGAAGCCAGTAGGGTTTTGATTGTATCATCGATTCATTACAGCTATTATTCATCTGCCATAATTTAGTTTAAATATTTTGTACAATTAATCTTTTTCTTCTATAAAAATAAAATTGAAAGTTCGTATGTTTAGCCTCTATGTGTTCCTGAATAATTTATCTGATTGTGATGAAACTCTGGTGGCTTATTCTGTGTACGCCTGCGAAAGTTCCTGGCTCAAAATGATTTTTTCTTTGGACGTTTGTCTTTTATGCGTTCCTTAACTACTAAGCAGTGTTAGTCCAGTAGTAACGCGCTTGCTTGCGAATCCGAATGAAGCGTATTCAGATCCCGGGTCTCGCACCTTCTATATTTTCAGGTGCGAATTATTTTCAACATGATTTCTACATGTCTTGCGGTGAAGGAAAACATCGTGAGGAAACCTGCATGTCTGAGAGACCCTAGCAAATTTTCGAAAGACATAATTATGAAGTCCGCTAACCCGCACTAGGCCAGCATGTTGTACTATAACCTGATTCCTCTCGTATCGAAGGAAGGTCTGTGGTTGACAGTAGGACGTTACGAAGAATGAAATAAATTAGATATCTAATGTATGAAGCGCGTTTTGTGCAGTTTTATCTTTTATTGTTTATAATAAATTAAATATCATGCTATTTTTATATCGTGTGAAAGAAACACATAGGCTACTGTTAGTAACAAAAGTTTCCGAAGATGGCGCTACCTTTATGTAATATTAGAAATATAAAAGGAGCCTAGGGATGCCCTCAAGCAAAGCGAGGGTAAGTCGCTTGTAGTTTAGATGAACTTACCTATTTGCAAGAGTGTCAAAAATCATGATATTTTAATATAAAAAGCAAAAATCCATTACAGGTCAAAAATTCTACCTAAAATAAGATTAATCTCAGTTTAAAGAAATAAATCATTTATGTGAACTTTCACTCATACTATATTTAGTTTGTTATGTAAATATACATTCTTATTGTATTAAAAAAACTCAAGCCTTCTCATATACTTGGTTGACTACAAAGCACTAAAGTCGCTTGACGTACATATGCATGAGTGGCGTGACGTTGATTTGTTCTAGATTTACATACAAATGAACATTCCTGTTATATGTCACAAATATTTATATCAAACTAGCATTGCCCGTGGCTCCGCCCGCGTTCAGATGACCAAAAACCAAATTCTCAGGTTTTACATATTAGTATACTCTTACATTGCAGTTTTTATATTTTATTTTAAAAGTATCCTATATGTTGAATCGGATAACCAGCTATCATCATACCAAATTTCCTCAAAATCCCTCTAGTGGTTCTTCTGAGATGCGGTGACAGACAGACAGACAGACAAAAATTGTAAAAACTGTAGATTCGTCCTCTGTATCGATAATAATGTTTATTTCAATAAGATTTTCCAAAAAATATTTAATGTACAGATTCGGATTATAGTAGGGGAGCCGAAGAGGGGATTTTCTGTAGTTACTCGAGCGCGGCAGATTAACATAAAAGAGGTTACCTTGCACTCTATTGAGTACTTTCACCACAATATAAGTCTTCTATATAAAGGGGCGCGTCTAGGGAAGCCGATTA